ATATTCTAAAGAACATCTCACTGTACATTTTAAACCACTTTTGATAGTGGCCTACATTTCTGCTCACAAGCTATTACGACATGGCACAGTTAAAAGATGTGAGTTTTATGTAAAAAAGTGTATCAGTCAACTCAAATGAACTCTTATTCTCAGTGATGACATATCGTCTTCTAATTAAATCAGCTAAGAGAACTCTGTTTGCAAGGATCATTCTAAAATTAATTCCCAAATCAAAAGTCTAACAAGTGGTACTCCTAATAGCCCAGATTTTAGATTGCTTTGATACCTGGAATTAATGTGAATCTTTCCGTAATCTAGTGACTTGACAAATCATAAAAAAAACCATTTGAAGTTCCACTAATTCATTTATACCTCACACTGTTCTTCGAAAGGATCTTAAAGACATCATCTAAGGAAACAGAGCGCTAGGAAATCAGAACTCTGTGAAGAAGGCGGTTAAATGGAAATTAAATTATTCATCCCTAACTAGGAGATTTAAAGAGTAAGATTTTCAAACACTGTTTTTTCATTCACGTTAATGTGATATCTACATGTAAATTGAAAAAAGAGTTGGGTTAACAGCAAATGTATTAAAGAAGTTGGTTTGCTGGGGAGCAGAGGAAGGGAGGGCTTATTCCCTGGGAAGCCCACCAAAAAAAGGAAGGAACTGCTGGACCCAGGCCAGATAAGATGAAGCATTACATATTCTGAGATTTGAAACTGATAAACAAAGACTAAAACAATCACTGGTATATCCCTGGAATATTAGAGAATGTTCTCTTTTTTTTTTTTTACTTTAGATTTTTGAGATAAACTGATATCAAAGAAGCAGGAGAGAATTTTATGCTTTCTTAATATTGAGCTATAGCCTGACTCATAGGAAAAAGTTGGCAGAGTAAGTTATTGAGAACAGTGTTAGTTATATTCCCCCCCCCCTAATTTTTGGAGATAAATTTCCCTCCTCCTTCTAACCCTCATGATAATTTCCTATAGTAAGTTTTTTTGGACTAACCCAATATTCAGAAAGTAGGCCCAGTATATTGAAAAAAACACCCGACACATGTTTTTACTTTTTATCTTTTATAAAGCCACATCTATACAACGATTAGGAAAATGCACAAATACACAGACAATTTAGTGGTGGAAGCATAGCCAATTCCAGAGAACATAAAACCCAAATTCACAGTGAGTTTGAAAAATTGTAGATGTTGCAAGTAAATAGAAAAATTCTCAGCTTGAACTGTGAGTGAATGCATATGGTGATTGAGAATACCAGGCTATATAGGTATTAGATGAGAATAGAACTGATCTTACATGCATTCATTCAACAAATACAGCATGGCAGTGGACAGGATGAAGTGTACGGACTCCAGTGCCTGGGGTCAGAGTGCCTGCATTTGAATTCTAGGCTCCTCACTTTCTAGCTGAGTCATCCTCAGGCAAGTTAATTATCTGTTGCTCAGTCTTTTCATCTTTAAAATGGGGATAATGACAGTACCTAAGTTATTAAAAGAAGTCAATCAGACAATGTTTAATGTTTTTAAAGTGGGTAATATTGTCACATAGGTGCTGGACATAGTAATTTCTACATAAGGGACTGTTAAGTAAAGTTACATTAGATAAATGAAAAACATTAACATGAGCCAATAAATTACCACTAGTCAGCAACACATGCATATTATAATTAAAGACTCCAAAAAGGCTCAAAGCATAAAACAGAGGCTCCATAAGCATAAAACAACATCCCCTGAATTGCCCAGCCTTTTAAGCAGATGCTCTTCTCAGCTGTGAGTTCCTTTACAAGTTTGGAGCCATCAGTATGACTTGGATTGGAAAACAAGATAACATTACTGGTGCTGGAAGAAAAACCAGCATGATTCGCGCTGACCTTTGATCAGAATAACAGTCCTAACAAAGAAGCCGATGATACACGGCTCAATATCTTCCCAAAAGACAGAACAAGAGAAAATAAGCAAGCAGGCTTTGAAGGTTTTTGACTAGATATCTGGAAGCGTTTGGATACCACAAAAATTACCAAGTATCAGAATGGATTGCTGAGAGGGGCTCAAGAGTCTACTCCTTTGGAGGTCTTTCAAACAAGGACAGATAGTCTATCTGATCTGCCTGGGATGGCTTAAAATCGGGGCTGAGTGAAGATTAATGGTACAAGCTGCCCCTTGAAGGCCTCCTCTTTCCCAACCACTCTCTGAGAGTCAAACTTTATATATGACCCATCACAGCCCCTCATCTGTTGAGTTTGAAGAATTCCCTTTTATCCTAGAATAGAAAAGGGCAACACTATTTCACAATTGTGAGTTCTGAGTAAAACTTTAATAATGTCATGATGAGACATAAAGTCCTCATTACTTCTCAGTTATTTTACCAGGCAAGCTACCTGCAAATATCTTTCAATTAGAAACAGCTCTCATGAACCTGAAATCTGAACAGCAGTTCCTTTAAATTCATGTTCCCTGGCAGACTAACAGCACATGCCGTTTCTCAAGCAACCCATTAAAAGTCCAAACAAAGGCAAAGGCTAAGAAGGAGTTGAAGGGAAGGATAACCACCATATACTAGATAATTAAAAGTAAATAATATCAGGAACTAGGGAGGAGAAGAAAAGTGGGTTCATTTAATAACAGGACACAAATAATTCTTCCAACAGCAATAGGTAGCATTGAGTAACGTTTACCTTGAAAAAATGTTGATCCTTAATACACAGGTACCTTTCATTTCATTTGTTTTTCCTATCAGATGTGCCTCTGACCCCCCAGTGACCTATAGCTTGAGTATTTCAAAGGGTACCAAAAGTCAGGAAGCTTTATGCAAAGTCAACAGTCCCCTTAGTCCTAGAAAGAGAATTTAACAGAAAGTGCACACATTTTAAGAAATTCATAGCTAATTAACAAGCCCTGTAATTGTCAAAGGGGGGATGGAAAGGGGGGAAAAAACCTGTAGCTAAAAATCTACTAAAGGATTTATTTCAAACACTGGGAATGTTTCAGGAAAGTCAATGGTGCCTACAGAAATCATATACACTGAAAACCTTCCCTTCGATATTAAGGAGATTTGCATTGTTGTAAAGACGTGTAGTCTCCTGAAAGCCCCACTATTCATAAATAATACAGAAGAAATTTAAAAATACTTAACTATTTTCTTCTTGGAGATACCTTTTCTGAAATCACGTTGGGAAACATCTGTGTGTTTAAAAGACATAGTTTGAAAAAAAAACCAGATTAGAGGAGAAAAAGTTCCCAGAAAAAAGTGATCCATACTCTAAACCTTTAAAAAGTTGAATTCCCTGAGACTGGGGGAGGGAAAAAAGGGCAAGGCTGATCCTTATCAATTAATTAAAAAGAATGAAATAACAGTAGACAAAGGGGAAGGAGAGTTAAGAAACTTAAGGATCTGTGGGGGCAGTCGCTCTCTACGTATTGATTAACAAATTAAGGAGCTCTGGAAAAGCGAGATGAAGTGACACAGAGAAAAGTGGTCTTATAATTCACCACAGGTTCCGCCTCCGACTCACCAGAGGCTGCCTGCGTCTGGCTCAGAATTGAAAACCTCTCCCTGTATATAATGCTCCGCGCTGTTAGCGTGTTGTATAAGCCGTGTTTTGGGGTTTTTTTTTGTTTTTTTCAGTGCCTACATTTCTAGAAACGTGCTCATTCCAGGATAAGTAAAAACCCTCACTTGTAGAGTTTGTGCATCAACCATAAAACGGCAATCCCAATACGTATGCAAAATGCTTTTCACACAGTAGAGACCAGCTCCTGGGCAAAACGCAGAGAGGCTGGTGGAAATCCAGGGTTCTGATTCGACCATCTGAGGGTCACTGAGGACTTCGGCTGCCGGGTTTGAGCATCACAGCATCCCCTGGCCCCTCGCTGTCTCTCTCAGCTCCGCGCTCCCGAAGCCAGGGGATTACCTCTCCCCAACACGTTTCATTCACTGAGCCCCCGAGATGCTCGGGTTCGGTTGGAACTAAGAGCCGGAAAACATGCACCCAAGCGACCGCGCAAGTGGTCGGAGACCGAGCGCTCCCCACACGCCGGAGCCGAGCCCGGGGGTTGGGGGCTCTCGAGGGAGGAACACCCGTGGCCGGGGGACACGGGGTCCCAGAAGACCCCCGGGATGCATCCGCTAGCGAGCCACCCGCTGAAGTTGACTCAGCTCCCCGGAGCGGGCGGACGAGGCCGCGCTCCGGACGGGGCGCCGCGCGGGGCGGCAGAGCTGTCCCCCGGACCGCGAGTGACCAACCGCGATCGGGGGAGCCCTGAGGAGCCGGAATGGCAAAGCCCGCCCCAAATCTGAAACGGGCAGCCCGCGAACTCCCCAGATCCGCCCGGAACCGCCGACGTCGGAGGCCGAGTCCCCGGGTGGAAGGGGTGGGGGGTATCCCCTACCCCCAGCCCCGCTCGCCCGCCCACCCTCGGCTCGGGCGCCGGGAGCTCTGCCTCCCCGGAGGGCAGGAGCTAGGGGCCGGGGAGCCCTCCGCGTCTCTCCACCGCCCCCGCCGGCGCGAGGGCGGGAGCGGAGAAGGCGCCACTCTGACGGTGGCGCTGGGCAAACTGCGGCCGCAGTTCTTCCAAGTTTGCCTGAGCGAGCGGCGCGGGGTGGGCGCCGGACTCGGCGTGCCGCCCTCGCGCCGCGGCCGCCCCCGGGGGTCCCGGGCTCCCTGGCCCGCTCGGCCAGGGCCAGCGACGAAGAGGAGCGCGAGGGCGCGGGAGCCGAGCGCGGGAGGGAGGGAGGGAAGGAGGGCGCTCCCGCGTGTGCACACACAATGAGGCAGCCGGAGACGCACACCTTCCCCCCCTCCGCGGGAGAAGCCGCCCAGAGCATCCGCCACCCGGCACGGAGGCGCGGCGGCCCGGGGAGCCCCCGGCAGAAAGTGAACACCACAACTCAGCAACAGGGGGAAGGCGGAGGGCTTCCGGCGGCCCGGGGGACGGGCGGCCGCCGAGGGCTGCAGCCGGCCCGGGCCGCGCGCCCGCGCTTACCTGCGATCTCCTGGTAGGGGATGTCCGCCAGGCTGAATCCCTTGGCACCGTACGCCTGGCGGACCTCGCCGCAGCTCCGAGCCTTCACCTCCGCCCGGGCAGGGAGAGACAGCAGCAGCCCGGAGAGGGGAAGAATCACAGCCCCGATCCAAGAAGGCATGGTGCAACATGCAAATCCAGCTCCGTGAACCCCGGGACCCGTGCGCTCTTCACCTTGCCCCTCCAGCCGAAAGCCCGCCAGAGCCGGCGGCGCGCTCCTCGCAGCTGCCCAGCGTCACCCCCTTCCGCCAGCCGAGGGGACGAGCCGCGCAGCCCTCTGGACTGCGCTCAGCAAACTTTTATAAGCCTGATGGAGGATGGCAAAGCCAACCGGGGCTGGCTGGGAAAGCAGCCGCCTCGCTCCTCTAGTTCCCCAGACCGAAAACGGTGCAATAAAAACGAGGAAAAGGAGGAAAAGAAATGTTTCCAAAAACCACCATAGGGGTTGAGCGCTGCGATCCGAGTTCCGAGCCGCAAGAATCCTAGCGCGCTGCGAGCTCGGCTAGCGGGAGTGTGCGGCGAAGGTGGAGACGCGCGCCGGCTCTCCCGGGAGGGAGATGGACAGGCGACCGCGAGGGTGTGCGCGCGCGAGTGTGTGTCGGTGTGAGCGCGGGGTTCTCGGGGACGTGTGTGCGTGGAGGTATGTGTTGGGGATATACGAGATCCAGGGGAAACCTCAGCTTCGCACAGGCTGAGGGAGCCTGTGAGAGTCCTCCTGAAATAGGAAGAGAGAAATCCTGGAGACAGACGCTGGAGGCTAGAGGGAAGGAGAAAGGAGGGGAGGGAGAGAAACGTGCTACACTTCGCACAGCCGAAATTCAGAGGCCGAGTCGAAGGCAAAACCTGGACTGGATTTCTTTCTAATCGGCAGCAGAAGGGGGATAAAAGGGAAGCGTTCCTCTTTTCATCATTGGCTGCACATCCTTCGTTCTCATCCGAAATGCTACTTTTAAATGCCATAACGAAGTCATCTAGGAAGACAAAGTATTTTTAAGTCATTAACTTACGTTATTAAACTACATTTTTGTGGCTGTAAAGGACAACGCAATGCCAATTGTTGCTCTAAATGTGAGCAACAATTCACGACCTACTGGAACACACAGCCCTCGCTGAAATGAACAATTAGAGGGGAACCGGGAATAGCAGGGCACAGTCGCTGCTCTAATTACTGGGCTTATTGCTGTTTGACTTTTTTTTTTTCTTCTAAAGACAACGCAGGCATACATTACACATAAGTAGTTTGTGTGTTTTTGTTTTTTTTTTTAATTTTAAAATTTTGGTTTCTGGACTAAAAAATGTCCCCCTTTTAACTTCAAATGTTACATAATCTTGGATCAAAAATCATTATCTCAGGCTTCTAGCGTGTGGATGAACAGGAAAGCGAAGAAGAAGCAGAACAAGGAAGCAGTGAGAAAAAAAGAGCAAGGGTCAGTGGGGTACATGAAGGAAGATATCGGGGAGGGCAGTGAGGGCTTCGCTTGCTTTAAAGGTTCTCACGTACTATACTTAGCATTTTCTTCCAAAGTGGAGAATCAGTTCACTTCTTTCCTCCTGCCTTATACTCAAGTTTTGTGAAATGGGATAAAAATGAAAATTCTTATCAATTTTCTTATCTTAATGAACTTTGCTGGGCCGGAATATGTGTTGAAACCCAAAACTCATGCAACTACTAACAGGTAAATGCAAGACCAAAAAGCAGATAATGCTTACTTTTGTGTCTGTGTGTGTTTGGGTCAGCTCATTATTCAGAAATAACTGTAGGGTAACGTCCAGTTTTTTGGACCTTCTCTATAAAGCTGTGTTTTTCAAATGACAGCTCTTAATGACCAGAATGACCATGAAATTTAAGTCATTGTTTGTTATCACGACCACTGTCAGAGTCATCTTCATCATCATTACATTAGATACCTCTTCTTCCTCTCTTTAATAAATTCCTCCTCTCTTACTCCATCAAAAAGACTCCCAAGTTCAAGATCCAACCTGATTTAAACTATGAAAATGCTTAAAAATGAGTTTCTCTTCTTTACAAGTTAATTTTTCCCTCTTGAAAATCCCGTAGACAGGTATTTCTTTCTGAAAAGTTCAGTCACATTTTTTTCCTCTTAAAATTTTAGCATAATTTTTGCCTTTACGATATTGTACTAACTGGTAGGCCTCAAGTGACTTGAATTTATTTCCCTCAGTGTCTGAAATCAGGATGAAACAAAATATCCTCTTGTGTCATAGTGGACAAAGGATAAAATGGGCAGGATTAGGGAATGCTGTAGCCAAGTCATTATTTCTATGATATTTGACATGACCTTCAAACTTCTGTTTTTGTCAGAGACAGGTGGTAGGCATTTTGCACTCCAGAGGAGGGGAGTGATTACACACATAACTTATTCTCTCCTCACACATTGGGACTCACTGTAATTTACCATTATTCTCGCAATATATAGCAAGTAATGCAATAGATAGGACATTTGAAGTGGAGGAAGAGGGGGTAAAAACATAGTGTATGTATTTTAAGATATTTGAAAATCATTAAGTATTTAATAAGCATTCAATGCAATGATACAGCCCTAGGTTATTGTACATAGGTCCTAGACTTGTAGGAAGGCTAGTATGGAAAGAATTATAACTTAATCAGACATAGATTAGTTTAATCCCATCAGAAGGGTGAAACAGTTTAAGGTAGGTTTATAAATTCCAATACTGAAACTCCAATACCTTAGCCACCTGATGCAAAGAATTGACTCATTGGAAAAGACCCTGATGCTGGGAAAGATAGAAGGCAGGAGGAGAAGGGGACGACAGAGGATGAGATGGTTGGATGGCATCACCAACTCAATGGACATGAGTTTGAGCAAGCTCAGGGAGTTGGTGATGGACAGGGAAGTCTGGCGTGCTGCAGTTCATGGGGTTGCAAAGGGTCAGACACGACTGAGTCAGACACGACTGCGTGACTGAACTGAACTGAACTTATTAATTCCAATCAGACCAAAGAATTAAGTAACTTGCTTTACTGGTGCTGTCAAACCCTCCTGGTCCACTCACTGGATAGTGTCGCACTGTGTGAGGTGGTGTAAGAAATTAAGTCAAACTTTCCAGCTAAGGGCAATAGCAGAGCCTAGATGAGGTATTGGAATGAGCCTGGAAGGTCATGGGCATTTATAGAAGAGCCTTGACTAGAAAGATGAGAACTCATATTAAGGAGATGTTGGCATTTGGTTTAGATAGAAAGAAAAAAAAGAGTTTGGCCGAGAGACGAACCCTGACAGTACTGTTTATATTGTGCGTCATAGGAAAAAGAAGTTAGAACATGAGGAACCTCAAACCAAAGGAAGCAAGCACATAGAAGCAAGAGAAAGGTTAATAGGAGAAACACATAGAACCCTGTCACAGTGGTCAAGATTTCAGGCGACTGAGACCAGAACAGGAAGATAGTAAATGGAAAGAAAATGAAGATACATTTTGCAGAAAGGATTAGCACCGTTTGGTCCTTGGTTCAATACATACCAAAAAAAGTTACTAAAACGTTATTTCAAAACTGTGAGTCTCACTAGGAAAATGTAGTATTTACTAGGACTTAAGACTCCTGTTTACACAACACATTCACATCCCAGCTGTTTATTTCACAACAACCCCTCTGAGCATAAGATGAACGGAGCCTCAGAGACTGAGATATGGAGACAAGAAGATTAAATCTCTAAGGAGCAGCCACGGTTCACAGGTGGGCAGAGTTGCCCCGTCAGGTATCCACTCCATGATCCTTGGCTCTTCTTTCTTGCTACCCTAATCCCCACTGTGTTCAGGGCATTATGCCAGCACCAAGGGATGAATCACAAATGGTCATCCCTTGGAGGATGGAAAGAACCCAGAAGCAAGTCATGAAAATTTCCCTTTTCATTAAATAGTGTAGGGGTGGGCTTAACACCCCTTGTTGCCCAATAAGATCTAAGGAAAAGATTTCTGAAAAAAGCATTTTTCCTGATTAAAGGAAAGACATATAGGAACAGAGAGGTCTTTTTGCCTCTGCCTCCTCAGGTGGGACAGTGGGAAACAACTCACCTGCCCATGCAGGAGATGCAAGAGAAGTGGGTTCGATTCCCAAGTCAGGAAGATCCCCTGGAGAAGGAAATGGCAACTCACTCCAGTATTCTTGCTTGGAAAATCCCATGGACAGAGGAACCTGGTGGGCTACAGTCCATAGAGTTGCAAAGAGTTGGACATTGAGCATGCACACAGGCACCTGTCTTCTTAGAACTACTTGGCCATCTTGTGAGTAGGAGACAAGACATGGCCAAGGGATAGAGAATGACAGACCAGAGGGTGGAAAGAAACTAGATCCTGGGCTCCTGTCCTGAGTCACACAATCAGCCCTCCGACTGCCAACCTCTTAACTTCTTGTTAAATAATTCATAAATATCCTGTAGTTTATGCCACTGTCATTTGGCTACTCTGTAATTGACAAATGAAAGTAAATCAATGACTATAGTAACCTAAAGGAAAAGCGAGGGAAATGAAGAAAACAGATAGGGGTTGGTTGCAAATATAAGAAGTGAACAAAAATGAGGTAGCATCATGGAATTCAAGTTAGAAGATTTCCAGAGATGAAGCAAATCCCAGGGAACATCAAAGCCAAGGAAGTTGGAGAAAATAGTACACGGACAATGACAGGCTGCCTGGAAACTTCAACAGAAACATTCTAGTAAAGTAATGAAGTGGATGCCATACTACGTGGAATTGTATATGAAGTAGGTGGAGGGAATATTGAAACATCAGGTATAACTGATTAGTGCTGTGTGACAACTCTATGTGGAAGTGGAAAGGGATGGGCTTTCCCAAAGAAGCTCCTAAGACTACAGGCAAGAATACAACATGAGACATAGAAAGAGATTGAAATTTAATGTAATAGCATTAGGTAGGTTGATTTTAATTTTTTTAATATTTATTTACTTAATTATTTATTTGGCTGGACTGGGTCTTAGTTGCAGCATGCGGGATCTAGTTCCCTGACCAGGGATTGAACCCAGGCCCTCTGCATTGGGAGCACAGAGTCTTAGCCACTGGATCACCAGGGAAGTCCCTGGTAGGTTGATTTTATATTCCTCTTACTTTTCTACATTCTGTAAGTTTTATACAATAAATGTAAGTACTTATGATGAGAAAGATATTGTTTTAAAATGAATATCTCATTTCTAATAAATGCAGATGATGATATTTGTGCCATGTTTTACAAAGTAAAGGGGGCTCACCATTATCTCATGTATGTAAAACAAATGAGCATTAATATTTCTTACAAAAAACATAGCAACATTGAGGTATGAAGTTTTTCATTGTGAATAATTTTTTTTTTAAGCCATGAATAAGGGGAAAAAAGGCAATTACACAAGTTACTATTCTTTTGCTCAGTTGCACCAATTCATGAATGTGAAGCTGAATGAATTTTTAAGTTTTTTTTTTTCTTTTCTTTGTGGATTTAGATCAAGTAGCATAAATAAGTTCAAATGAAATCTTATGAAAACAAGAGAACGGACTTCAAGTGTCTATTCCACATCTCAGCTTGGTGCAAATCAAAATTGCTTAGTTAACCTGCCTCTTGAAAAACAAGGGCCTGTAATGAAAAAGCCATCAGAAATGTTAACAACAGTAGTTCTGCCAGATGCCTTCATAACGGGAAGGTTGCTGAGTTACAGAGAAAGGTAAACTTGGGTAAATAATGACCAAAACTGGTAGAAATAGTGTTTAATTTTTCTTATCAAGTTTTATACCAAACCAAATCCTAGTAGTCTA